CGGAGGTCAGGAGACGGTGTCGCTCACCTGGAACTGGAGTTATCGGTGGTTGTGAGCTGCCACATGGGTGCTAGGGATCAAGCCTGGGTCCTCTGCGAGAATGAGTGCTCTCAAACCGTTGAGTCATCTCTCCGGCTCCCTAGACCCCGATTCTTTAAGGTATCATCGCTTCCTGGCTATCAAGCCTTCACCATTTCCTGGCAATCAGGCCTCCGGAGAACTAATCTATGCCACAGCAGTGTCTGGGGGTTGTCCTTACACATCGCCACAAGCTAGGTGGCTTCGGTCAACAGAACTCTCTTCCCCTACTCTCTGGGAACCGTAAGCATAAAAGTAAGATGTTAGCAGGAACACCGAGCCAGAAAGCCTCCGGGGAATGGGGGAGGACTCTACCTGGTTCCTTCTAGCTTCCGGTGGGCCCAGGCAGCCGTTGGCTTGCCATAGTATCACCCGGCGTGTCTTCCATGGCCATGTCCCCTGCCTTGCCTTTGTATGTCTCTTAGAATTCAGCTGACTGGAGAATCCAAGAGATCTCATGTTGGGACTCTTCCTACAGGACAACTGCAAAGATATGTTTCCCAAAGTTGGGGTCACCTGCTCTGGGGCGTTAGCACAAGCCCTACCTTCGTGGGCAGAATGAGGCAGAATTAAATGACACTCCTGATAGGGACCAGGATGAGGAGGGCAGGCAGAAGTGGATTCAGGGCTCTGAACCTGTGGGCTATCCACACCTGGCCCTGGATTGTGACACATTTTTCCCCGTAAAGATGGAAGATCATTTCTTTGTGGGGACTTGAAAGGGTTCCAGCTGGCCTGCTAGGCCCTGAGGCATGGGGCCTCAGAAGGGCCACGAGAGAGCCGCTGACAGGTAGAGCCCTTCTGGGCTTTGATTCATTGACCGTCTGGGCAGGAGCTGGCCAGGCTGTTAAGAATGACAAAAATGCCTCGCGCATATTTTCCTCTCAGCCAGTGGTTTCACTGAGTGTCAGTACAGTGGAGAGAGCCTGTCTGCTCTGCTTGCTGAACCCCGGCTTGGTCCCCATCTGTGGTCCGTCTGCGGCTCTCCCTCTCTTCTTCACATACACCCGCCCCCGGTCCCCAAGGCTGGATGGAGTGGGCAGGGCTGGACCACGTCCTCATAATTGAAATATTTGGCGCTTGGGGTGAGGCCAGACTTCCCCAAGTCAAAGGGACAGATTCAAGCTGGGCCTCTATGACGGCGGGAAGCCCCGGAAGCTGCCAGGATGCCAAAGCCAGTGGCTAAAGACTTTCCGCTGGGGTCCCAGAGGACTCAAGTACCCTTGGAATAAGGTGAGGGCAGACACTCAAGGCCGCAAGCCCTAGATCCCTGCCCCAGCCTTCTTGCCTTCCTCAGAACACCCTGGCCGCCGGCCTCTGTCCATCACAGAGCCTTCCTGAAGACGACTCCTGCTTCCTGTTCTACAGCCATAGAACAGCAAATACAGTGATAAAATGCATGCTGTATAAGCCTTATGGACTAGAGTTTAGATAAGCAGAACCCAGAGGAAGTGCAAGACGCAGAGACACACCCCTGTGATCCTAGGGCTGGGGAGACAGAGGAGGATCCTAGGGGATCCTCCAGCCAGTCCAGCCCCCTTGTGAACTTCAGTTTTAGTGAGACCCTGTCTCAAAAATAAGACAGAGAAGAGCAAAGAAGGAAAACCTTTGTTGTGAAAGCTCTGGCTTGGAGCACACACAAACACATGCACATACATGCAGCACACAACTCTTAACACAGATACACAGAAACGGTTCTAAAAGTGGGACATGCTGCGGGGGGTGGGGGGCACACCTTTAATCCCAGCAAGTAGGAGGCAGAGTCGGTGGATCTCTGAGTTCAAGGCCAGCCTGGTCTACAGAGTAAATTCCAGTCTCCAAAAACCAACTTACCCCTAAAAAAAAAAAGAAAGAAAGAAAGAAAGAAAGAAAGAAAGAAAGAAAGAAAGAAAGAAAGAAAGAAAGAAAGAATGAATGAATGAATGAATATGGGATACCATGGTGCCTCTGGCAGGGAGTTCCTGAGTTTGAGGCTAGCCAGGGGTACATAATGAGTCCCTGTCTCCTTCCTTCCTCCCCTAATGAGCTTTGAAATCCTGAGGGCAGATGGAAGCCCGTGCTAAGACTCAAACATCTCCCCTTAGGGACGGGACAAAGCCCTACTGCACGCCTGTCATCCTGTCTCCCTAGAGAGTCCCCGTTGGATTGCACTGGGCCTCAGCATTTGCACAAACTTCGGTAGAAACTTGCCTCCCAGGGATACGAGTGCTGCTGAAAGCGGGGCCCACAGCTCCACGTGCTACCCACTTCCACCCTCCAGGCGTCTCTCTCCCTTTGGAACCCAGTCCCACTCCCAGGCTCTGCTTACCTCAGGCCTCCTCCTTTCCAGTTGTGAGAATCACGTAACAAGATCACCTTTCCCTTTTTCCTTTTGCTGCCAGGAATCTTTGAAGCCGGACCGTGGGGATTTCGAGGCCCCTTGCACTCAGGAACATTCCCTCACAGCCCCACCCGCCCACACCCTGTGGTCTTCAGTCTTCTCATTCAGTTTGTGTCTTCTCTGTCCTGATTCTCTATGTTATCAGTGAGTTGTTTTTTTGGTTTTAATGTACTTAGTATTGTGAGCTGCTGGTAGCTGTTACTGAGAACAATGAAGACTATAAACAGGAGATAAACACACCGTCGCTCCATTCTGCCATTCACATTTATTGCAGAAAACAGGGTGGTTTGGGGCAATAAATGAATTCTCCTGCTGCATTATCTTCAAAACCGGGCTCTCAAGTCAGGAAATTCTCTTTCTTCTACGTTAACACTTGAGTCCCTTAGGTAAAAAGCCTGGTACAAAGAGGCCCTTATCAATTCTGACCACGTTTACTGTGACCAGGTGTAGACCACGGCCAGAAACAAAAGGGAACAGAAGGCCAAATGATGAGCTCTTTGTAAACTGCTAAGCCCAAGGGCTTATGGGATATCTGTTAGCTATCACTCTTTTAGATCAAGGGCCTTGTCCTCTTGTCCCAAATGGGATCCCAGACGCACAGTCCCTGGTCCCACAGTTCCATCATGAATCTGAGGGCATGAGGCCTTTGTGACCTGGGTCTCAATTACCACCATCTGAGAGGATGGTCCACTCTCCCCAGTTTGTCCCAAGCAGCCTAGACCTGACTTTGGACTCAGAGCCATCCCTTCTACATCCATCAGGGAACTGTGAGAATCTCACTACAAAGCTGGGGTGTGACATGCACTCAGCTCTGTGTCCTTGCCATCCTCAGCCAGGCAGGACAAGTCTGTCTACCTGCCCTCCGCCCTCAGGCACTGCTTTAGGAAGAGAGGGTGACTCTGATCACCCTCTCTTCCCAAGTTCACAGAGACAGAGGCAAAGACTCTAGCCAGCCTTTCCCAGCACAGTAGGCCTGCCGGCAGCTTCTTCCTATCACACAGTTGTTTGTCACTGTCCTCTGGGAGTGACCCAATAGCCAATTAATAGTCATCGTTTTATCAGGCCAGGCCTGGGCCCTCTCCCAGAGGGCAGGCAGATGGTGGATCCAGGAACCAAAGGCCTGGGTGAGAAAACCAGTCCTAGAGGCCACCGTAGGTCCTATTTGGGCTTTCAAGAATCTTCAACCTGCACCATAGATAAGGATTTAGGATGGATAAGGGCCTGCTTGGGTGGGGCAGTGCTCATCTCTGAGGAGGAAGAAAGGACACCTGGGATTTCCCGAAAGGGGACCCTCCAGAGCCTTGGCTGCTGCTGGTTGCCAAGGTCACTGTGCTGGTGTGGTGATCTCAGGAGGGGCGGGTCATGGTGGACTTCTCACTTCACATGCCAACGGATGCCCCGAGGGTCTGGCTAGTTCCTGATGCTGTACTCACTGGGGCAAGATGCTAAGATTCTGTCTCATCTGCTCCCCGTGAGGCCCGGGCTAAACAGTACTGGAGAAGGGGGGGAGGCAGTCAATCTTATCCTGGCGCAGAAGAGAAAATGGGGTGTTGGCTGAAGGTCCCTGGTGGCTCTGGAGGTTTGTAGCCTCCTGGCCTGGTCTCGCAGACTCCTAAAGGGCTTTTCTGTCATCAGTATCTTCCCAGAAGGACTAGCCATTGTCTGTAGCCTGAGCTTCCAGACAACAACCAACATACACATTTGTGCACCAACTGGTAGACAAAGAAACCCTGTCCTGCCCTCCAAAATGAATCTTGCAGGGGAACCCCAGACTCAAACCCCAGAGCAAAGCTCACGAGCCACTTAGGGGCCCATCTGACACATCTGTTTGTGGCTACCCAGTTTGAACCTCACTTATTCTCCAAGGAATAGAGGAGAATGTTCTCTGTGGAGAAAGTGTCTCTCAGTGGGAATGAGCTGGGTGACAGCAGTGCTCTGGGGAGCCACTTGTACCCCACAAAGCCTCTCAGAAAAGCTGCCGTGGCTTGGTTAGCCCAGCTAGAGCAGTGTCTCATGTGATTCTGATAGGACCTGCCTCCTTCACACAGGTCTTTTGGGCCCATGCTTATTATATCCCTCTGGACTCTTCCTGGGTGACAAAGCCCCAGACAGATGCCATCTCCAAGTCCCTTAAACTCCATGGATAGGAAAGAGCATGAGGCTTGAAAATAAGCCCACTTATTGGACCAGCTGCCCCTCGCCCTGGGAGGAACAACTTCAACATTTCAGATCACTCTGTAGTTCCATCTCTTTGGGCTTCCGTTTCCTCTTCAGCTAAATGGGAGCTGGGCTGTTGTGTTTAGTGAAATGACACACTAACACCCATGGAAGTAATCTGTCCCCTCTGCTGTGGCATCTCATATTCTGGACACCACTCACCTTGTTATTCCTGGGCCCAAACCCCACCCTCCTACCCCTGCTAATGCCAGCATCCCATCCCAATGGAGAAGGCCTTGTCTTCCCAGCCTTCTGTCCTTTGTCCAGCCAAGCCCCAACAGGCTGCCCCCACAAGCCCTCCCCACACCAAGACACTCCAGAAGACTTGAAGAACAAGAGTGGGTTCTTTATTATTTCAGTTATCTTTCTTTTTAAAAAAGGTACTCCTTCAGTATAAAAAATAAATATATTAAATATAACATTGAATAAATAAAAATAATCTGTCAGTATGAAACATTCCCACAGGGTACATTCATCAAAGAGGAATTTGTCACCCAAGGCCAAGCCCCTTCCAATGCAAAGGAAAGGGGGTTAAGATCAGAGGCCCCATGGGCTGAACCAGCAGTGCAGAGGAGAGCCTGGGCCAGGACTGGGGAACCATTCGAATGCAGACAGCCATACCATTGCACTTCCGAAGCCACTACCATGCCAGATTTTGGGGTGCTGGGCCACATGCCTTGTCTGCTCCAGAGAGCCAGCAAAGCAGGGCCGGGTTGCTTGAGTCAAGATCAAGGACAAAGAAGGAGACAAGGACAGGGAGGAGAGAGCAGTAAACGTTCAGTGCTTCCAGGTTTGAAAGTTTTAAATAATAAATAAAGACCCCTATGCTTGTCTCTTGATAAAAAATGCCCATCCCTCCTCCTCTGGCCCAGGTACACTACCCATCATGCTAGGTGGAGGTCAACCCTAGCAGGCATGGATGTCAAGGTGCACAGTTGCCTCCCCCTAGGTTTTTGGCCCAAAGGCTCCAGGATTCTAGGAAGCTGTGCAACACGGCTCTGAACTGTTGGAGTCAGACGTAGGCAGGTGGTTGCGTTGTGGAGCTGGGGGCTGTGCGCAGAGAAAGAGTCCATTGGTCCCTGAGCCTTCAAAGCTGCCAGGTTGGGCGGAGCCCGGGGAGTCCATGTCCATCGGGATGTGAATGGCAAGACTCAGCAGGCCCCAGGCTGTGGGATCATCTTGGCTTTTAGACAAGTTGCCTCTCTCGCTTCTCAGCTTGTGGAAGGACAGCCAGTCCCGGGCTGAGCCTGACGCAGCGGCAGGAGAATGGTGTTGCATGCTAGTCTCCTTGCTGCATCCATGCTTCCAGGCCTTTCCTCTAAGGGCCCGCTCACCTGCCGTCCAGGTAAAGTGCTTAGAGAATGACAGAGAAAGGCGCAAAAGCGTACGAAGCAGAGTACCGCAGCTGAACTGCTAAGGACCGCCCTGCTTCCAGGCTGAGAAGCAGCTAGTGCTGGGCCCAGCTTGGCTGCCTTCCTCCCTACCCTGCTCCCAGATCGAGGGCGTTCCCCTGCTTGCCTGGCCGCCGCACAAAGGAGAGATCAGATCGGATTCCCTGCCTGGGAGCCCAGACATGGGCGGGAGTGGGAAGGCAGCGATGAAGCAAGGACCACAGCTTCCTGGTCTGCGTCCCAGGCGTCTCCGGCCTTGCTCTCCCCCTCTCTGGGGCACTGGGCAGTCGTTCAGACCCACTTCAGGGCCCGTACTGCCCCAACTTCCTGCACTCACCCTCTGTGGGTGTTCAGGCCACCCTAGGAGCTTCTATGCTGGGTGCCGGGTCAGGATGTCTCAGTGCTCAGCTGCTCTTTGAGGAAGAAAGAATCATCAGCTCAGCCCAGAGTTCCAGAGCCATTCAATATGAACGGTGCATAGCTGGAGTCCAGGGGGCGCCAGAGAGCACAGTGGGACAAAACAACAACAAACTGCTCCTCCCACCCCCTTGGAGACCAGAAAGAGGAGGAAAAAAAATCCACTCCACAAACTGGCCCAGCGGCTTCTGGGAGACCCTGATACCCAGGGGAGCCAGCCAGCTCTCTGCTCTTGACCCTTCTCTCGGCTTCATCCATTAGCTGTACCAGTAATATCATCAGCTCTGAGACCAGGCCCCACGAGGTGAGACTTAGCCCTGGCTCCCACGTAAGGAGCCTCATACTAGTTTGGGGAATTAAACTTTGCCACTTAAAGCACCAATAAGTTAACATAAATAGAACATAGTAATAAATAGACAGCAGCAGTGGGTCAGCCACAGCACTCTGGGTCTCTAGCTTCCTTGAGACCCTAACATCAAGTTCTGCTTCTCCATGCTCTAGGGACCCAAGACAGCCCTCTGGTCCCCCTCAAGTACCTTTGTGTGACCTCCAGGGCCTCAGATATGACCTTCTACTCTAGGCGACCTGTCTGTCTGCTCAGGACCACCTGTTCTCAGGGGTTGAGAAGCAGATGAAATCTTCATTGCCCCAGCAATGGCTGCCTTGCTCGCTCCCTGGCTCCTGAACAGTTATAGATCCTTCCTTGGGAGGATTCTGGGAACCTGCTGAACCACCTCACCTGCCTTTGCAACCTGCCTCTTCCCATCTGCACACACCCCACCTCTAGGTCCACCTGGGGGGAAACTGCAAAAAAGAGAATGAACCCAAGAGGCTTTGACAGATTTTTGTCCCTGTCTGGGCTCTTCCTTTCCAGACCTGGAGTTGGCCTCTATGCTTCCCTAAGAGCCTGAACACCAGTCACCTTCTAGAATCTTCCACCTGACAATCCCTAAGCCTGAACTCTCTAATCAAACCCAAGAGAAGATACATTCCATCCCAGGATGGCCTCTCTTTCTTCTACCCACAAAACTTCAAAAAGACAAGGAGTCCTTCTAGATCCCAGTCCCCCTGGCCTGCCCACATCTCAACCAAGCTTTCCAAAGTCTCTCTAAGGGACAGCAAGATGGCGGTCGCTCTATGGGGGGCCAGGAGACCCACCAGACCTTTCGCTGTCTGCTGTAGACAACTCGTGCCGCTTGTTCACACAGTAGTGAGCAAGGGCTGAGTGAGTTAGTGGGGCAGAAATCTCATGCCCACAGCACCTCCTCAGTCCAACACTCTCCTTGCTGTTTCTAGCTGGCGCTGAGCTGTATGGAGGCCCTGCCTTTTGGAAGTTTCATCTTTGCCAGACTCTCTCACGGCCCAAGCCAGAGTGCAGCGAGTGGCTGGGATCCCCGGGGTCTGCCAGCAGGCCCCCTGTGAACATTTAACAATGCCCTGAATCCCAGCACATTTTGAGACGCCCCCTCCCCACATCTGGATCCCGTTACTGGGATCCCTCAGTCCGTGGCATTCTCAAGACCTCCAGTCTAGAAGGCCTGGGCCACCACACTAATGACTTGCTTGTACGTCCCTAGGAGCTGGCAGCCCGCCTTTTTCTTTTGGAAGATCTCTTTGCTGGAGGTGTCGGGGGCGTACGTCACGTCCACGTGGCCGATGTGGTACTTGTTGCACAGGCGACAGAGCACATTGTTGAGGAGGCCTCGCATGACGTCGATAGTGGCGTTGAGTTTGCCATGGAGGCTCAGGGCGTTGGGGTTGAGGACCTTCTGATCCCGGGTGACGTTGCCCAGGGAGGCACCCAGGTACGCGACCATCCGATACAGCTCCACCAACTTGCTCTTCTCTGTCCCGTTGGCGTGGAAAGGTGGGAAATCTGTCATGTTAGGCCCACACAGCTTGTCCAGGTTGTTGGGAAATGGCTCCCCTTGAGCTGTGTACTGAAGAACAGAAGAGAGGTGACACGGGAGTCAGGGTGAGTGTCCAGTCACCACCACCCCTTAGGACAAGCTCTTTCACCTCACTTTCCCCACCTGTAACATGGGACTCAACTTATTGCCCTGTAGGCAACTAGAATCATGAGTCAGCAGTTATCAGCCGGGTGAACTCACTCATCAAGGTCACCGTGACATAAATGGGTAGAGAGGAAATGCGGCATTTCCCAGGTGTCACCTCAGCTAGAACACCCCACACACTTGCACTTTCACCTCAGCCTCTTCCTGGGCACCCCACTGTTTTCAGTGATATCTCCCTGTCCACTCACTGTGAATCTTCTCCTGTGGCCCCCTGAGCCGGGAGCAAGACTAAAAGGACAGTGCCCACCTCTCGCCCCAGCTTCCCCTCTCCTCCTCACTCACGGGAGACCTCGGAAGAGCACAGGCTAGGGTGTGGGGAGGAAGCATGGGGTGCATGGGCTTGCCTGAACCAGGCCCCTCCCCGTGTGCTCTTTCAGCTCCTAAGGGCCCCCTCCAGCCCAGGAAGCTTCCCCCTTCCTCAGCACCCCAGGAAAGAAACTTACATAGGAGATGAAGAGGGCATTGGCACTGCCATTGAGCTGAGCCAGTTGATTCTTAATCTGGTGCATGAGGTTGCCATGACATGGGTGGCGTGTGGCACAGGTGGCGTTAACGGGGGTGATGGGAAGGGGGCTCCCAGCCCCGTGTTTCCAGTGCAGAACCAGCAGTAAGGGCACAACCCCTGGGAAGAGACAAGAGTGATAAATGGAAAGGCAGGAAGCCCGGGTGAGGCTCAGGGAACATTGCATGGGGATTGGAGAGGAGGAGGGGAGCGGGGTGGGCAGCTCATCTGTCCTCACTCTCCATCTGCCTGTAGTTGCACTGCTCTGCTGCGGTCCCCCCCCCCCCCCCGCCCCCCCCCCCCCCCCGCTACTCCGTCTCTAGGTCTCTCTCCCCAGTTCTCTCTGCTTTCTCTTGCTTTCCCTGGCCTTGGTTTCCCCATCTGTGCCATTGCCTTGAGTGGAAAAGAAAGGTATCAGGACAGGAGGCATTTGCATCATCTAGAAGCTGGGCCCAGGGTGCCACTCAGCCATCTAGCTCTGTCCCTCCTGGTACCGTAGATGGATGCTATCAGGTCCAGCCTAGGGGAAGAGAAAGGAAGCCTGTCTCTCCCCTCCCTGGATGGGCCAGATTCTTAGCTTATGTAGTGTTCATTGGCCCATTGCAGCCTAGCACTCCAAGCTGGACCCCTTGTGGACCAGGCTGGGGGCTGAGGTCTCTGCTGACCCTCTCTTCTCAAACCTGCCACTTGAGTCTGGCTCCCAGTTGCCTCTAAACTTCCCTCAATGAGGCTAGTCCCTTTCGGAGAACTTTTCACCTGTTTGCCCTGTAGGTCCCCACTCTCCATCCAAACCATCTTTCAACCCCACTTCCTACAGCTCCCCCAATGCCAACACACACACACACACACACACACACACACACACACACACACACACACACACACACACACACACCAACTCCACACACTTTGGAATTAGAGGAAATGGTGCAACCAGGAAAGAGATGAGGGAAAAGGTCGCAGGCGGACACGCGAGGAAAGCGAAAGGTGTCAGGAGAAGCCGGGAGCTGTCCGGGCCTGTCCAGGATCGCCCCTCCCCCGGGGCGCCTGGCTCTCCTTCACTTTCGGCTCCACAGGCCCCCTCACCCCAGCCCAACCTTTCCAACCACCGGCAGAAAACACCAGAAGGTGACAGGGGCTGAAATCAACTCCTAAAGTGAGGCTGGAGACCTCCCACCTGAACTCCCCATGCCGGGACTAAAAAGACCGTAGAACCTTCAGTGCACTCCCCTGGGGACCCTGTTGGCCCCAGCATCCCCAGACAGTGTTAAGCTCCCGGGATGGCTGCGGGGGCACCCATCCCCGCGTCTCACCTCGCGCCAATCACAGCCTTCCAGAGACTAGCAGACGGAAGCGGCACCTGCGCCGGTCCTGGCCGGAGTTTGCAAGCTGCTCCGCCGCCTGCGTCCCTCCCAGGGAGCTGCCCGGGACGCAGTCGGAAAAGAGAAAGCGGAAAGAAAGAAAGAAAAAGAAAAGAGGGAGGGTGAATCCGGGCGACAGCGGAGAAGCGAGGGCAGCGCGGGAGAGCGGCGGGGCGAGCAGAGGAGGCGGCGGAGCGAGGCTGCGCCGCCGGCCGGGTCCCTCGCCGCCAACCTGCTGGCCCCGGCGAGCTGGGCGCGCGGTGCCCGGACCATGTGCGGCGCTCGCTCCCGGCCGCCACCCAGCGCCTCGGGCGGGCCCGGACTGCGCGGGCGCCCCAAGCGTCCGAGTGGTGCGGCGGGCGGGCGGGCGTCCCGCGGGTGCTCGCCCAGCGCCCCAGGCTGCCGGCGCGTCCGCAGCGGGGGGCTCCCAGTCAGCGCCGGACGCTTGGATTTACCTGCGGCCAAGACCTTCATTATGGGCCGGACTCCAGAGGGCCTTGGAGGAGACCTTAGATGCAGGCCGTTTTCAGAAGTTCATGCTCAAATGGGGAATTTGCCTGATTTATATACTGGAGCCTGTGTTGTAAGACAGAGAAACAGCTATATTTAGCCGGGATCCCCAGTCCAGGAAGTGTTTGAGGTGCATCATAGGAAATTATGAATGGAAGAAAGTAAGAGTGAAAGGGGAGGGGGGACGGGTGGGGGAGGGTGGGCAGGGCAGACTCTTTCCTTCTTCTAAGAATTTGATTGATAAAATTATAATGAAGTCTTCAACAACAACAACAACAAAAAGAAGAAGAAGAAAAAAAAAAAACGTCCTGTGGTTTTCCTGAGTGGTTTGCTCTGGGCGTTGTTTGCAGATGGGACGGGTGGGGAGGGGGTCCCAGGGGGGTTCAGACGGGGTCCCCACACTTGTGCCCTTTAGATGTCCACGTTCATCTGGGTTTCGGGAGGGTGGCAACAGACTGGAGGCTGCCTCTGTGGCCCCTGGTAGGGGGCTTTGCGGAGCAGCCAGAGGAGTCGGGCTGGGGTTCCACTGAGAAGCAGTTGCCAGGAAGGGGGCTGGGGCCCTTTTGGACTTTAGACAGTCATAAAGTGGGGCAGACCGTGGACGATGGGAGCCACTTTAATGGTGGCCTTTCTCCAGCCTGCCCATTGCCAGTGGGCAAAAAGAGACTACAAAGAGAGACTGGCACGCTGCCCGTGTGCCAGGGGTCAGGCCCCCCCCTACAGCCATCAGCGTGCGTGCCCCCTTTGTTGACTGGTACCTGTGAGGTTTGGGAAGACACGAGGTTGTGTCTCTTTGGGCAGGCACTTCAGGAAGGTGGCGTGCTGTTCTGAAGGGATCCCCTAAAGCAGAGATCCAGAAAGGCTGGGCAAAATGAGACCCCAGCTTCCTGGGGTACTGAGGAATGCCTGGGGAAATGAGAATGGCCTCCCAGACACTCTTTGAAAGTCCCTCGGTGCTTGGCCTCAGGGGAGGAAGGTGAGTAGGAAGCATTCCCAACAGGTGCTTCTATAGTCTAAAGTAGGGTCCCGACATCTGGTGTGGGTCCTTGCTGGTAGATCAGAGGCTGTCTGGGGGATAGTGGGAAAGAGGAGAGGGTGAAAGGAGACCAGGGTCTCCTCACTAAATAGGAGGCAGTACAGAGAAGCACAAGGCGAGAGAGCCACTGGGTCCTTCCAGATCTGGAGATGTAATCGACCTGGCTACCCTAGCCCAACCTTTCCATCGGACCTAACTCCATATCCAAGCGGGACCGTCAGCTTTCTAAAAGGGTTGCCTGGCCACGGAAGGCTTTGCTCATCCCCAGGCCCCCAGTTCCTGCCTCTCGCCACATCCAGGACCTGCTCAGATGTTCTCCATCCTTCCAGGATGCCTTGTGCCTGCTGCTGTCCCTACCCCACCCCCACTCCACCCCACCCCACCCCGCCCCATCCAGAGTCTTGATCCTTGTGGTCTCTTGGCAGAGCCTTGCATAGAGGAGTGATAAAAACGGCCACTCCCAGCTGGTATTTCCCAGCAGGAGATGTTAGTGACCAGGCTGGCACCCTCTCTTCCGGCACCCAGCACACCTTGTCTCTTCATTGGTGGCTCCATGTGGAGCTTACGGTTAGCATTCACACACTCAGATGTCAAACCACCGGAACTGCTTAGAGTTTGGACTCTAAATCACCTCTAGTCCCACCATCATGTCTTCCAAACAGACATCTGCTGTCTGACTCAGCCTGGCTTCCTTTACATGGGCCCCAAGTCCATCATCCCAGAAACCCATCATGCTCCTCTCTGTCCATCTCCTGTCCCCAACGCTAAGCCCCCTCACTGAGGGCTTCGGTGCCCTAACTGCTCCACGCCTGTGCCTCCCTCTCCTCTACATCCTCCCAGTGGACTTCCAGGCCTTGCACTGCCCTCTGGATCACTAGACCCCACATTGGTCCTATAGCCACCCCCATCCCCTACCCACAGCCATTTAATCTCAGCTTCACCCTACAGGAAACAGGAAGTGGGAACGGGTTCTAGAAGGTTCTGACACTAGGACTTTTTTTTATCTCCACCCCCCCACCTGATGCTCTTTTGTGCCTCAGTTTCCCCTCTCACAATACCTGACTTAGTCCACGTTCCCCCAGTGCTCTGGGCCCCTCGGTACCCCAGGCCCTGCCTCCTGCTCCAGTCCATGTCTGAGCGCCACCTGTGACAGGCCTCTGGGGAGGTGCCAGGAAGGGTCTCCAAGCAGAACTGAGCCTCTGTCTTCTAGCTGCCTGCAACGTGGCTGGCTTCAGCTGGAGTTTGCATCTGTCCCTCCCTCTCTAGCTGCTTCGTGCATTTCCCCTCTTCTCCCTCACACAAGGCATCCTCCCTTCTTGGCTGCCTGTTCCCAGGGTTGTGACCCTGGGCCCCACCCTGGAGTGGCAGCCCCGGCCCAGCCCCTTCCAGCTGTGATTTCATCTGCAGCCTGTCCAGATCCTGCACACTGGGCCTGCTGGGGGTTTGACAGGCTTCAGGATGAGGGGACAGCCAGTTTCCACACAGGGAATCCCTCAGGAGGGATAGGGGGCTGCCATGCCAAGCCCAGGTGCAGTCTGCAGGTGACTGTGTCTTCTCTCCAGGAAGTGACTAGCTTGGAGCCAGGCCTGGAGGCCTAAGCTAATCTGTGCCCTTCCCAGAAGCCCTTGGTGTTCTCTCTTCCATTCACTTCGGTAGATAGGGCCAGTCCACCCCGATTTTTCCCTCGGCTTTCACTCAACATATACAGCTCTCTCCTGGGATATCACAGCTGCTTGTTTTTCACACATGGAAGTTAAGGGGTGTGTAAAGGCCCGTGCAGAAAGGTGCACAAAGGGTTGACATGGGAACCCTGCCCTCCGACTAGCAAACCACAGTGACCCCTCGAGGAGGAAATAAGGACTTCCGGCAGGAAGGGCTCCTCTCGCCCCCCCACCCCGAACCCTGACCTGTTCATTTGGCCTTGGCACCCTCCAAAGGGTCTACCCAGACAGCACTGATCAGGAGGGAGCCCTTGGAGCAGATGCTATTTACTTAAGCATTTTACGCCTTGAAAGCAGTCTGGGCAAAGGTAGGAACTCTGGTGGTTTGAGGCATGTTTGGACTTTGACCTCATTTAGAAGCAGAGATTTGGCTCAGGAAGGTACAGGCTGTGTGACTTTTGGGAAGTGGACACCTCTCATCGTTAATTTTTTCATTTGTAAGAATAATAGCACACGCACACACGAGCGCACACATAGTGGGTTCTTTGGGACGGCCTGGGGTCCAGTATGGTTCCTGGCACCCAGCAAGCCTCTTGTGTGTCAGCATGGACCCTAAAGACTCCTCTGTGAAACAGAAATCTTTGTCCTGTTAGAGATGAAGAAATAGCCACTCCGGAGCCAAGGGCAATGATAGACAGGAGAGGGGCTATTCCTTACCCCACAGTCTGCAGCTTCAGGGGTACCTTAGAGAGATCAGACAGGCTAGAGAGGACTGGTACGGTAACGTGCCTTCCCTGTGTCTCTCTCTCACACACACAGTTTATCACTCAGACTTCCACAACCTGTCATAACCTTACATACACACTTGTCACACCTACACACACACACACACACACACACACACACACACACACACACACACACATGCCATCCCAGTCAAGGCTTGAGCTATGGACAGTTGTTGGCTGGACCTTACCACCCCCAGGAGCTGATTCACCCCCAGACCCCATCTGAGGTGCTCAGCTCAGAGGAATTTGAATCACCAGCTGCCCCCCTGCAGAGCCCCTGGGGGCAGGACGCGGGGGTGGGGGCCAGCCCCTTGCCTGCCTGCTTGTCTCTTTCCTGGGCCCCCGGGGCTCTCAGGCTCAGGAGGGAGGACCGCAGAGCAGGGGCTGCCTGCAGGGTTTGGGGAGGTGGCCTGTCAGCCAGGCATCCTGTGTGGGCAGTGGTTACTCAGCAGGTAAGTAAGCAGCTCTCTGGGCACGGGGAATTCCCCAAGACCAGTGACCCACATGCTGAGCTGTCCCTGCAGCCGGGCCAGTTCCTTTCTCCCAGCCTCCTTCCCCTCCCCTGGAGAATCTCAGTTCTTCAAAAAACAGCCTCAGCTGGGCTTTGGTGATCTCACCTGGAAGGTGAGCACACAGTTATCAGATGAGCTGGGGGAGGAAGCTGGGGGCTGGGGGGTGCTTCTGAACACCCGAGCTGGCAACAGGTGCCCGAAGGACATAAAAGGAACTCAGGAATGTGGCTGGCACGGATGTGGCAGTTGATACTATGTCAGAAAAGGCAGAGGCGCTTCTGTTGTCCAGGGGATCCCTCAGCAGGGATGGGGGGCTGCCATGAGAAATGAGGCTGAGCCGCCTTCGGGGTCTCTGGGTCCTTGGGGGTGGGCATGGTCCCTGGCAGTGGGCAGTTCCCGTCTCACAGTCCTGAAGAGGTCCAGGGCTGCCATGGACTCTGTCCCTTCTCATCCTCATCCTGTCAGGCACCAGTGACATCCTCTCAGAGCCTCAGAAGAGCCAGAAGCCATCTGGCCAATGGCCAGCCATCCCAGCATCACCTCGACATTTCCTGGCTCCTTCTGCGTCAGGAATCAAGCCCTTAGAGGTGAATCAGAGTAACTGCATCCCCCCCCCCCCCTTGTTCATTTCTGATAGAAATTGCAAAGGAAATAGCAGCCCACAGAGCTGACCATCCGCAGGGCCAGAGGCCAGGGTGTGGCGTGGTGGGTGGCCAGTCCCACCCTGATGCTGCCCTCCAGTCCTCTGTCTGTAGACTAGGCTGCTGCCCCTGGTCTAGCATTTGGTGTCTGTGTGGAGCAAGCACTTACACCTTGACCTTCTTCCCCATGGATGTCCAGGACTATCTCAGGCAGAGGTGGACACCAGAGCTTTCACGCTGGCCTCTACCGCCTCCTAGGTGACAGGTGTGAGTTACAAGGTGGGATGACAGAGTCCCTGGACATTGCCAGGACAAGGGCGAGCATGCTCCGTGAAGCATGCTTTCCAGCTCTCTGTGTGTGTCCATATGTTTCTTACCGTGGGAATCAGGAATGCAGGCCTGGCCCAGAAGGGCTGTGTGATTTGCCCAAGGTCACTCAGCAGTG